TGTTTTCTTCTCATTTGCTACAAAGCTGTATGCTACAGACTGACCTAAGCCATTACAATCTTCTACCACAAATGTGTAAAATCGATTACGGTATGCTGCGGCTCCTTTGTCTTATACTACAACCATGTTTGAGTTTCCTTTGTTTAACCAGGAAATTTTTTTTTGTAAGAGGAGTCTAATTTCTCCGTATAATATTGCGACAAGATCAGGACAGAATCTAGTGCAGGTTTGGACTCCAGAGGGGATATTGCCGTTTTCCTTTTACCAATGCATTTTTGGAAACAAAAAAAAATTCTCATACTCACCACCGTTTTTTATTTAATTTTTTTGCAACAAGTTTTTGCGTGGTATCGGAATAAGTGTTCGAAACACTACAGTGTCGTCAGAAAATGAGTTTTTTTTTTCGCCGTTTGAAAGTTTCTCAATTTTCTCGTATTCTTGATGACAAAATAAACATCCGATTTGACGCCTGATGGATATGTTAAATTGAATTTGAGACAAACTATTAAACTATCATTTGCGTATGAAAAGGTCCCATTTATAATCGTCTTCAATAAAATTAGCCTTTGTATCTACCGCGAACGTTTCTGTTGTCTTTGACAAGGTCGATGTGCTTTCCGTGCGCTGTATCGAAGTACTGAGACTTGGTCATGATCTCCATTGAAGAAAGTAAGTTTAAGTCTGTAGATTCATCCAATTACTAATTTCCGATATAACTACTGTATTTAGTGCAACTTTTCAGAATTACAATTGGTTTAGTATAAATATCTTGGAGGTAAATACCTACCGGTGCCATTTTTGTTCACAATTGGTTCTCAGTCAACATTTTCATTATAATTATGTGCAGCCTAAAACGCCTTGCTTTGTACACAGGAAATTTGATAGAATGTATTGGCAAATATCTTGGAACTGAACACCAGCATGTGATTTAAAAAAACCTTCTAGCTCCGTCGTTTTTCTGAAAGACAAATAGTACACTTTTAGGAAATATTTATTATAATATTATCCATCAAGTTGAAGGACATTGGTTAACCTGACACATATTTATGGTTCACATGTATTACATACATGTAGTAGCCTCTTATCTTAAACAGCCTTTCTTAAAGCCTCGTGAGCTTGACTGCCTTTATCAAAAAATAAATGTATGTGGAAAAGTTTAAATACCAAATAATTTGGCAAAAAACACCCATATAATTTCGTTCTTTTCGTGTATAAATCGTTCATTGCAACATTATGTTTACAGGCTCTATGTACGACGTTGACATATATGCAATTTAAATTGATCAAGTTTCTGAACAAGAATTTGTTTTGTTGAAGAGTTATATCTTAACCAAAGAAGGATATATTGCATTTTGAATGAACCAAATAGTTGAATACTTTAACAGCAATTGCTCCCCGTCATCTCCCGATTCCAGAATTTTTGATACAATTCCGCCTAGGATACTGTTTCCTGTCGTCCATTCTGACAGACAGACGGCCGGTAGGCGGAAATCCTATCATTGCATGGCGAGGAACTGTAATGCCGGGTAGTTTTACGTCCGAGTGACATTACACGTGTGAAATAGAAAATTAACTCATTCTTTGAACTAGTCCTAAAAGCTACCCTCTTGGAAAATAAAGAAAAATACAGATAACTGAGGAACAAACAGCGTTAAGTTATCTATGTCCACAGTATCAGAATTTAGTTATAAGCTACTACATAATCTGTTGACTACAAATCTTTCCGTTAGTAAGTGGGATAAAAACAATAGTGGCAACTGTGATTTCTGTGATACACAAGAAAATATCAAACATTTGATCTTTGAATGTGACTTGATAAAGCCAATCTGGAATAAAATTTCTCAATTAATAAAGATAGATATTACATGGAAAATGATTGTTATAGGCTTTATTTTTTTCAACAACAAATACACTCTTATTTTAGATAATACATTGTCATTCTTGGCGTGCAAGATTTACAAATATAAAATAAAATGTAGAATTGTTAAAGACCAGGTTACATATGAAGGAGTGCGTCGCTTTTTAAAAAGCGCGCTGATGCAATTGTATTTTACTATTAAAAAGACAAAATGTATAAATTCAGATTTTAAAATTCTTGAACTTTTGTCACAAAACTTATAATAATATGTATATTAATTGTATCAATTTTATATGTACTAGAGGGTGAGCTGGCCCTCTGCATGTACATCCATGTGGCAGGACAAAATGGACTGTGAAGGTGAACTGTTAATGGAAGTCCTGCCGCATGATATTACTGTCATTTATTCTATTTGCAAAATTTATGTATATTCTACTATAACCTTATATTGTAACTGCTGTATGCAGCTAATTATCGAATTTTTATTGTCACTGCTGTATGCAGCTAATTATCGAATTGTATAATCATGATGTCAATGTTACCAACTATATTTATAATAGAGGTACTTTTTTACTAAAAACATACACTTTATTATATATGTTTATGTTTTACATATTTACTTAACAAAATTACTCTTGATTTACCAATTATACATGTATAAATTTTGTTACTAATCCAGGGAGCCCCTGGCACCCCAGGTGAGGTATATGATGAGGGCCTCTGCGGAGGTGATGCCTCAAATATCAAACTATGTATGTATTTGAAATAAAATCTTTTTTATAAAAAAAAAAAAAAAAATCTATGTCCACAGACTTGACTTGGAAAGGGAACTTAAATAAATACCTGCATCCTTGTTCATACCTAATATTCCGTGTACCTAGTTCTTGAGGTTGGCATAACATAATCCTAACATGTTTTATTGTTAATTTAGTCAAAATGTTTTATTACAAATTATTCAACAAAGTGAAACCAACCTGGAGAAGCAGGTTTTACTCTTCCCAGATGATTGCTGATAAAATTGATGAGGGAAATGACACAAGACATTGTCTTCTTCTCCTTGAAAGAAAGGAATTAAGTTGCAAAGGATTCGTTCAACCAAGACTATCAGTTTGGAACGGAGATCAACTTCATTCGTCTCGCATGGGAGACATCTATCCAAAGGAAATCTGAGAGCATCTTCAGGCGTGGGGGAGGCATCACTTAAGTGCATGCACTTATGCGATCTAAGGCTGCTTAAGCTTGCACCAATAGGTACAGCACACAAATTAACACAGAAGTTGCGTTTCTTTCAAAAAAATGATTTTAATATTACTAAATCTTGATCTTTCAGCTTAGTGTGAAGTTCAACAGCTGGCAAATGCTCAATTACCGATTTATAGGTGATGTTTATTTAAACTTTTACTGTTGTAAGTTTCTGATAATCGATGTACTGCTTAGGTACATTTTCAATATGTATGGGTATATTACTGTGAAACAACCATGTTGGTTTGGAGATGATTCATTTGCCGCTGCTATATTGCACGCTTCCACATTGTCCATTGATTCTATGTTTACTGAACATTGGAATATGCTGACTCCATGGGCCCGAGTTAGCGCCTTGAGTTTAATCTGACCATCACAGTTGTACGACCATGGATCGAAATTTTGATGCCAGAATGCCGTGTTCCCTGCACCAGTTATAAACATCTTTAGATTTTTGAAAACAGGCTGTAAAAATCACATGGGTTTCCAAAATCTCGTTGTTTTAAATTTAAATTCAAATTTTTCCGTGCCAACATGCCTGTATTGGACGACTGACGGTCAAAACGACGCATATTTAAAATGAGAAGGGATGGAGCTTCAATAATTATTTTAAATAACAACTTTAGAAATGGTTCTAACCAGACACTCACACTTAAAAATTTCTATTTAACCACTGAAAAAAAGGACAGTAAAAAGAGAGTTTGTTCATTTATTTCATTTGTCACAGTTATTTTGATTCTTACTTTCTTTTTCCCCTTGCGGAAGGTACCGCCTCCTTCGTCCATCCAAGTATTGATATTGTCTCTGGGTCACATTCTAGGGATGTAAAGTATAATTCCGGCCAGTGTGGCATAATCTTAAATAATTGTTAATTTTGAAGTATATTCGATACTAATAAATTCTCAATATGAAGGAAACTAGTATACCCAAGATGACATGAGAATGACTCTGCGCTAGTTTGTCCCCAGCCAACCCAATGCCCATAAACAAATCCATAAAGACGTTTCGGTTTAAGCCAATCACAAAAACGAATGTGCAAATCAGGACCCTCTCCAACTGCGTGAGACATCGGCTCCAATATAACCTGCGAATTAAGGTTGGCCATTCCCTAGCAGGCCAAATAGTTATCTTTATAGACATCCACATTTCTAAAATCGTTCCATTTTGAGAAGGCTTCTTGTACTTTAAACAATAAATTCCCACACAGGATTCCTTTTGGTCTTTGGAAGAAACAGCCTTGAATCCAGATGTATATTAATTAAGATCTCCTGTTTAGCTCACCTGATCCGAAGGCTCAAGAGAGTTTTTCTGATCAAATTTTGTCCGTCGTTGTCGGCAACTTTTCATATTGTCATCTTCTGCTCAAGAACCACTGGGCTAATTTCAACCAAACTTGGCACAAATGAAGGGAAGCCCTCTTCCAAGAGGAGATAAAAATGAATAGGTGAAAACTTAATACATGTAGCATTTTTTAAGAATCTTCTCAAAAACTACAGGGCCAGGCTCCGGGATCAAGAAACTGTCTTAAATTTAAGCAAAAACTTTGTCTTAATTTTAAGATTTAGACTTAGCTAAGATCACGTACTTAAGTGGATCACAAAACGATCTTAGCAAAAACTTAGTTAAGATTTGTCTTAGCAAAAATCTTACCATAAAATCTTATTTGTCATAGTAACGAGGAACTCTTCAGCATGAAGGTAGAAAAACCACTTATATATTAGTCTGAGATAAATAAATATCTTTTCATAAACAAATAAAACGCTGTGTAGTGTTTACCACGTTTGAGGGGAAATCACCACACCACTTCGCACGAAACTTAGATCCGCGACTTCGAGGAACTCTTCAATGCGTAAAGGTACGAAACTTTATCGTCTGCTTACATTGACAACAACCTGCGACGATGGCGGAAGGGCAGCGGGAAGGAAGAGAAGAAGAAAGTAAACGTGCCAGAAAGAGCAACTGGGCTCCTCGAGATGAAGTTGTTCTTGTAGAAGAAGTCCAGAAGCGGGAACAGCTTTTGTTTGGGAAACTGGGGTGTCCAGGCAGGACCGTAGTGGACAAGACCAAAGCCTGATCTTGTGAATGCGTGAGTAAACCTATTTATAATTTCCTTTTACTTCCGAAATTAACTTAGATATGCAGTAAATGATTGTCAAATTTTTAAAGTATTGAGGCATTACGTACAGCGACTCTTTCTGTTGAAGTTTGTCAAATTTTTAAAATATTGAGGGATTACGTACAGCGACTCTTTCTGTTGAAAAAATGTGCAGGTGCATGTAGATATTTTATTAATAAGGGGCCTAATATATTTCATATGGTGAGACATGGTAGTTTGAGTTATCAAAGTGAACAATTTATTCATCTTAATAGGTTTATTACCATCCATTATAATCACTTATCTTAAAAATGTACATTTTCATATTAAATATTCAAGTACATGTTTGAATAATATATTTTTATTTTTCAGTGGCAATCCTTCATCTTCCAGGAGGAACATCATAGAAATAACGAAAAAATACCAGAATATAAAACAGAAAGGTATGATATGTGCTAATGCATCTCTGATTTCTTAAACAGGGTTTAATGAATACAGAATACGACACTTATTTTGATGAAAAATTACATTTAACAAGCTCTATTGGCCAAAAGCTCTACAGAGCTCATGTTTGTAAAATTCAAATTCTAAATAAAATTTTATTTCTGATTCAATTAGTTCTGGCAATGGGGGCATTTATTTTACATTGATCTGTAATTACAAGGACAAGATTGTTGATTCACATATATTTTTACATATAATTAATGTTTAAATTTACTTGTATTTCATATAGCTTTTAAGACAGTCAGTCAGGTAGCACATTGTACAAATAATATTATTTACATGATAAGTCATAAAAGTTGAACAATGTAAAAGTGTAACTTGGTCATAATCAAAAATCAAAAGTCATTTTCACATTGAACAGAAGCTACTACAATGGATGACTTTTATTTGGGAAACTTCAACCCCAATCTAATTAAAATTATAGATAACATACACAAGTATAGCAGATATACGAGCGGATCTAACATCTAATTTTAATTAGATTGCTTCAATCCTTGCCATACGTTGTGTTTTACAAACAAATCCTGCTCTTTTATGAATTTTAAATATGCTGATTTTTTTTTAATTTTAGTGAGAGAACATAAATTCATTTGAGAAATCAAATTTATTTGAAAAGTCATGTTTTGCACCAACACTGTACATGTTCTTAAATCAATAGAGATTTAAATAGTAGAATAGTCTAAATCTGTGTGTAGAATTATGTACAAAGATGTGATAGAGAGTCAATTATATTGTAGCTAAAGAGAAAAGAAGTGCTGCGATAACACCAAAGACAGGAGGGGGGAAAAGACCACCTTCCCCAAGTGCCAGTGAGCAGTTGGTTCTGGACACCTTTGAAGGGCGGCCGAGTATGTGTGGCCTCTCTGGTGGCTTCGACACCGCTGGTAATATCATGTATACGTTTACAATAGATTATTATTAGAGAGGTTTAGTTACAAGTGACGTAACAACGCGAAACTTTGATGAACATGGTATATTTGACGTCAATTAACGTCTAAAATAGGATTTAGTTATACATACTGTACGTATGCAAATTTCGTGTTTGGAGCGTACAGCATTATATTTATTATTTCTAATTTAAATAAATCAAAGGTGAATTGGAATTTACATGGAATTTCCTTTACTGTCAGAGAGGACTACAGCTTTCTCTGTTTCTCATCTGTTTGAAATTCAATTTCAATACTATACATGTTCATGGTTTTCTTTTCCTAATTGATGTCCATACCAACAAGGAAATACGTATCATGTGCAAAAGAAACGAAAAAGTTTCAAATCAAGTTTTATTTCCAAAGTAAAATCGTTAGTGTGCTCATAGACTAAAATCGCAAGTATTATTGTACGAATATTTTTTACGAACGAGTGTGTTTTGTAAACTGACTTAAGATTTATCTCAAGAGAACCATAACTGAAAATCTTAAACGAATTTTTGAAAAAAGGGCTGTAGATACACAAAAATCACAATGTTTACAATTCCCGACGATGAATTAAAATCCAGGCTTTTCTACACTTTCATCATCCACAAAATGTACATCTGCAAACATGATTCGTGGGCAATCTAAAATAAAAAAAAAATATTCTAAATAATTATTTGCTGAAAGTTTAAGTAGGGAAATACCTTCATCATTTTGGTATTTATCTTGGATTTATTTTTGTTAGTAATTAGCATTTATATGTTAGTTTGTTTCGAAATGCAAGATATTTTCTTTCAGTGCTAGTAATTGTGATTTTAAGTGAGTACGTGTTAAATGTTAACGTACAGTTATGACATTTCATTCATGCAGATATATTAGATGGGCATTTAGTTTTATTTTATCTTCAATTTTAATTCAAATAATTTAATCTTAAGTTACAATTTTTAATATGCATACCATGTATTAAACTGCACCATCGGGATAGCTCTTGTTTTATTGGTGGTAACCTATACTTGAAAGTTGTGTTGCAGTGGAATAAACACAAATTTATTGTCATGCTGAGAGGGTATTTTCAGACATCTTGTTATTAGCTTATCTGCTTCAATTGTTTTTATGGTGTAATCTCGGTGAGAGAATTATGCATGACCAATGATGTAAGAATCGCATGGATAAGTGAAGGAACATTATGACGAATAGTAGACTCGACAGAGAAAAGCTTTTTTTCTCTCTATTAACAGGCCGGATTACTTCGCAGTATTTCTTCCTTTCTGTTCTGTATACATTGTTTGGTCTTTTATGCATAATGTTTATCACTTTTTTCTGATCTGGGATGACATCAGTTTCCATGGACTCAAATATTCTTTTAACTAATTGGGCTGCCGGATTATTCCCACCTCGAACTTTTCTTTTCAACTGCTGCATATAATTTTCAAAGGGCCATGCAGCACAGTTCTCTAATGATCCAAATGCATCAGCTTCTGTTTGTAAATGCAAGAGACTGTGTATATTATACACGCAAAATTCCTCTCCATACAACCTGCGACAATTTCGTACAAAGTATCACAGTCGGCGATGCGCATAATCTGAGTAATTCGAAACAAGATCTTCATTTAAAAGAATTGTTATCGCTACGCAAAGACACATAAACTTTCTGTACATATTATGCCTTTTAAAGCAAATTGCCCTGTATATAGAAGGAACTGACGGAATTCGGTAGCTTTCCATTTATCAACTTCCTCAAGACTTCTTGGTTTTCTGGCAATTTCTCGGGATACATAATGTGCCAATGACACAAGTTTAGTGCTAATCTGAGAAATTTTGCCACTAGACAACCGATTATTTGCTCTTGGACCCCGCATCCAAGTTAAAAGCTTTTTCATTACACCAAGACACACTTGATGCATGTAATCCACTGGAAAACCTTGTATCATATCTATTGGTAGGTATAGAAATCGAGATCGGACATCTTGTTTATGATGCTCTTCTTGTGTTTGGTTCAAAAATGATGCATTTGTTCTGTAAATGAGATTATCTATGACCGGGTAGGTCATACGTCCAATATACTGCCCACGCTGCTCATATTTGTCACATTTGACATACCCAGAATACTGTTTGACACACTTTACAAATGCTTTTGCTGGTGCATCACAAATTATACACATGATTTTAATTTTAAGATGTTCTTCATTGATGTTTATTCCATTCGTTATTAAATTATTTAGGTCAATAATAGTTTCATTCAAGAACTCTAAGTTCGATGGTTTTGAAGTACCAACAGTCAATGTTATAGGGAAGGCTTTTGCAGGTTTTAAATTGCAAATGAGTCCTAATACAGGCCACATGGTTGTTTTGCTGCTTTTAAACAAAGGTAATCTATCAATATTTAGAGATAGGATTAATTCATCATTAAGCGCCTCAATGTCCGTTTGGGCATATTTCTTTAATTTATTAAAAATCATTAATTCAAGCCCAAAGTGGAATTATTCCATGTCTGATATTTTTTGTAGGTCAACGTGCCTTGGTGTTCTCAGAAGTGTGCGCGAAAAAGCTGGAATGTTTAGAGTTACAGTTTTTCTCAATTTTTTAAGCAGATCATCTACGTATACTGTACTTGCCTTAACTCTGTTCAAATTAACCCATTCTCTAAGTGCATCTACCACTGCACTTTGACCATCACTGAAATCGGATTCCCCATCAGAAGATGAAATATATGCGGCGAAATTTAGATCTATTCTGTCATTGTTATCATCATCAGATGGTGCAATGTCACAAGCTGACTGATAGTTTGGTGCAGGTGCATCATGCATTCCTTCAGATGAACTAGTATTTTGCATAACACTAGTATTTGAGCATCGGGGTAATGATCCGGAATCGGTTTCAAAATCCGACCGTTCCGCTTGATTTTGTAAGCATAGTTTTCTACGCTTTTCAGATATCCATTTCTTGTTAAATTTCTTGTCGGTTAATTGGTCTGTCATCTTCACGTTGACTCTGCTCGTTACCCGTTATGTTGTTGTTGTTATCATGGATCAGTCCAGGATCATTTTTGATGTAGATAAGCTCGATGAAAATGGAAAATTCTGTAAAATTGTATTAAAATCTACTTGTTCAGTTATTGTCTTATTGCAATCTTGCCATAAAAAGAGAGTTCATTAAGGATCATTCTGTTGTTACGCACGGTGTTGCTATATATTGATGTTCCGTAAAAAGTATGCATTATAACTTTGTTGTGACATTTTTATTTGACGTTATGTTTGTAGCACATGAATTATTACATGTAAAACTTATCAAAATAGAATAAAAGGCTACAATCAATGTTAGATAGTCTTTATGGGATTGCGAGTTCACAGGATCTCAAAATATCTTCGTGCATGTCTTGAGATAGCGATATTTTTCCGTACCTTGATTTCATTTAAAGACAGATGTAACGAACAGCTATAGATGGAATAAGCACATTTCTTTTTTGATAAGGTTTTAATTAAGATAATCTCCCTGTATTTTTCCAAGATAAAGTCCTTCAATAACTTGTAGATCAGCATCATTGTGTAGTGGAACGGAGAGTTGTCTTTCCTGTGTTTACTGATAATGTTAGGAGTTATTGCTCTTTAGTGTAACTCTCCTGTGTTCTTGTATTCTTGACCTGCGTTGACCCAACGTGGAGCGGTCCCGCCGCATTTATGTTTTGTGCAGTATACCTCTGCTACTTTGTTCCATCTATGTCCTCGCAAAATGTAAGTTATTTATACATCATGTTTTCATAAGTGTATGTTGCAATAGCATTTTCAGCACGCATGGTTATTTATCTTGTAAAATAGTTTGCCATGCTACTTTATAAAGACCGCCATATTTTCTCGTGTTTACAGTGAGTTAATCTTATTTCTTTAATAACTGATTTATTTAGACTAACTATTTTTTCCCATGGTGTACATTATATTAATATTTTAATTACGTCCTATTTTTGTGGTTATTTCCCTGGCTAGGCACCATGCCTTAAATTACATTTCATTGTCTCAGTATTATTGTATTAAAGTGAGGTTATTATGTGAATTATTTTGATATGAATTTGAATTTTCTTTTGTGTCTTGATTGTCATATGTACTTATGTTTTTTGTTATGTATTTTTTCAGCTCTTTACCACATTCACACATATGCAACTGATTAAAGAATTCTGAACATCAGACTGTGACTTGGTTATACTTACTGTTTTCCAAACAGTACACATAGTTGTTTTCCCAGTCACCTTTGGCTGTCTCTTCAAGCGTTCTTTCCCCCTGTAATCACTGCACTAAATAATAATCTCCTTCATCATCTGTATAAACAGCTATGATTACATCTTTTTGTATAACATCTGCCAATCTGACTAAAGCCAGACCTCTATTTACGCTATCGCATAGAGGATCTGATAACTCCCAATTAGAGGTCATGTTCTGGTGAACATTGTATTTGCATGTTGCGTCAGATTTTCAACCAATCAGATAAGCCGTTGTAAATGAAGTTCGTTGTATGAAGAAAAATGGCGGAATTTGAGAGAGTAGTGCAAGAAGTTTTAAAAAGAATCGATATTAAGTCCATTAAGAACGAACAGAAATTAATTTTGAAATATTTAATCGAAAATAGAGAACTGTGTTTCGGTGTTACCAACCGGCTTCGGAAAATCACTTCCATTTCAAATGTATTTGCCAGTTAAGAGAGCCTTGGAAGACGACGAGAGCTTTGGGAAAGTTATCGTTTGTTGCCCTCTTGTTTCGTTAGTGCAGGATCAGGTCAACAAGCACTCTTCTCTTGGACTGATTACGGCAGCTTTTAAAGGTTTGTCTTTAAATTCTGATTACCGCTAGGCGTATTGTCGTGTAAAAAGTTCTGTTACCAAGTAAAAATAGTATATTTGAATCTTGATTCTTGAACATTTATTACAGTGCAGTATTCAGCAGCTTTTAATATGGAAAAAAATCTATGTAAACTTAATGATATGTGTTGAGACAATAATTAGTATAATTACATCTTATTGCTGTGTATGATTGATGGGCAATGATCATGTTGACCCTGACAATTTTTCTCTCACTTATTTGCATTTTTTCATATTTGAATAAGTTGAACAGCTTATTAAATATAGCAAAATTGTAAAGCTTTCTAAAGCTAAATAGTTTTTCACACTACATGTCTATAGATGTAAATGGATATAGATATAAATATTGTGCCAGACTTGTTTAAGTCCATTGAGGTGCAGTCGGTTTAACAGTTAAATTTACTGACTATGCATGCAGTCAGGTCAGCAGGACATTATCAGGTACCTAATTATTACACTGCCAATGTAAATGTAAAGGTTATTAGTTTATTTTACATGAACACACAGTGCTAAAATGGCAAGAGGACCTAATACATTAATAAAGAAAAATAGGGCCTATTTTTGGCTCTTGGTGGTGCTATTATCATTAATGGCTACTGAATTAACTATTTAATGATTGTTATAGGCAAAGACAAAGAGACAGATGACTTGAAAGAAGCTGGAAAAATTGACATAATCTATGCATCACCAGAGTCCTTGGTTGGAGATAGCCGTTGGAGACAGACCCTTCAAAAACTGCATGTAACTGCAGTTGTAGTTGATGAATTCCATACAGTAGCCACCTGGCAAGTCTTTTCTATTTATCTTAAATAAAATATAATTTTATAATTAGGATAAGGAGGAGTAAAAGCATAAGCATTGATGTTTAAGTTTGGTAAAATTTAGGTTCTCCTAGGCCTCAGGAAGTCTATTTCTTTTAAAAATTTAATTAAATTTTCATGTTCATATTAACACCAGCAAGTATTAAAAAAAAAGGAAATTCTGTAATTAAAACATTTAAAAACTCTTATTTCAAATTTAGGGGTGGTCTAGGAGCAGAAAAAGAAGAAAAGGTCTTCAGAAGGTGGTTTCGACACATTGGAGAAATACGGTCATATTTTCCGGAGGCATCTGTTCTGGCACTAAGTGCTACCTGTACGAACACAATTAAGACAAGATGCCCATGGGCCACATCGCTCACCTGAGTAACTTAGGTGATGCAAATCTTTTAAAAAGATTTGTTCTATATATATTTCTATGTAAAACTTGGATTCCCCACTGTGGCCCCACCCTACACCCGAAGGTCAGGATTTTAAGGAAGTAATATCTACACTACTCAAGGATGCTTCCACATAAGTTTCAGCTTTGCTGGCCTAGTAGTTCTTGAAAAGAAGAATTTTAAAGATTTGTTCAATAAATTTCTATGTAAAACTTGGATTCCCTATTGTGGCCCCGCCCTACCCCCCGGGGTCATGATTTTAACAATTTAATATCTACACTACCCAAAGATGCTTCCACATAAATTTCAGCTTTCCTGGCCTAGCGGTTCTTGAGAAGAAGATTTTTAAAAGATTTGTTCTATATATTTCTATGTAAAACTTGAATTCCCTATTGTGGCCCCGCCCTAACCTCGGGGGTCATGATTTTAACAATTTAATATCTGCACTACTCAAGGATGCTTCCACATAAGTTTCAGCTTTCCTGGCCTAGTGGTTCTTGGGAAGAAGATTTTTAAAGATTTGTTCTATACATTTCTATGTAAAACTTGGATTCCCTATTGTGGCTCCGCCCTTACCACGGGGGTCATGATTTCAACAATTCAATTTAATATCTACACTACTCAAGGATGCTTCCACATAAGTTTCAGCTTTCCTGGCCTAGTGGTTCTTGAGAAGAAGATTTTTAAAGATTTGTTCTATATATTTCTATGTAAAACTTTGATTCCCTATTGTGGCCCTGCCCTACCCCTGGGGATCATGCTTTTTACAATTTAATATCAACACTACCCAAGGATGCTCCCACATAAGTTTCAGCTTTCCTGGACCAGTGGTTCTTGAGAAGAAGATTTTTAAAGATTTATTCTATATATTTCTATTTTAAACTTGGATTCCCTATTGTGGCCCCGCCCTACCCCGGGGGGTCATGATTTTAACAATTTAATATCTACACTACCAAAGGATGCTCCCACATAAGTTTCAGCTTTCCTGGCCCAGTGGTTCTTGAGAAGAAGATTTTTAAAGATTTATTCTATATATTTCTATGTAAAACTTGGATTCCCTATTGTGGCCCCGCCCTAACCACGGGGGTCATGATTTTAACAATTCAATTTAATATCTACACTACTCAAGGATGCTTCCACATAAGTTTCAGCTTTCCTGGCCTAGTGGTTCTTGAGAAGAAGATTTTTAAAGATTTATTCTATATATTTCTATGTGAAACTTGGATTCCCTGTTGTGGCCCCGCCCTACCCTGGGGGGTCATGATTTTAACAATTTAATATCTACACTACCCAAGGATGCTCCCACATAAGTTTCAGCTTTCCTGGCCTAGCGGTTCTTGAGAAGAAGATTTTTAAAGATTTGTTCTATATATTTCTATGTAAAACTTGGATTCCCTATTGTGGCCTCGCCCTACACCTGGGGGTCATGCTTTTTACAATTTAATATCTACACTATCCAAGGATGCTCCCACATAAGTTTCAGCTTTCCTGACCCAGTGGTTCTTGAGAAGAAGATTTTTAAAGATTTATTCTATATATTTCTATGTAAAACTTGGATTCCCTATTGTGGCCCCGCCCTACCCCGGGGGGTCATGATTTTAACAATTTAATATCTACACTACCCCAGGATGCTTCCACATAAATTTCAGCTTTTCTGGCCCAGTGGTTCTTGAGAAGAAGATTTTTTAATCAACCAACCCTATTTTCGTATTTTCTTGATTATCTCCCCTTGGAAAGGGTCTTGGCCCTTGATTTTAACAATTTAAATTCCCCTTCACCCAAAGATGCTTTGTACCAAGTTTGGTTAAAATTGGCCCAGTGGTTCTTGAGAAGAAGTTAAAAATGTGAAAAGTTTACAGACGGACGGACGGACAGACGGACGGACGGACGAACGACGGACACCGGGTGATCAGAAAAGCTCACTTGAGCTTTCAGCTCAGGTGAGCTAAAAAGGGTTCTGGGATTAAAGGAGTATATCACAGTTTCCCCAAACCAAGAAACATAAAATATATTGTGAAAAAGGTGGAGCAGAATATTGAGTCTTCATTGGTATGGATTGTGGACGCCATTTCTGAGATGAAGGAGAACTTTCCCCGAACAATAATATATTGTAAATCAATAACAGACGTTGGACAAATTTACAATTTTCTTGCAACTGAATCGTCTAATATTCACAATATCAATGAAATGATAGAAATGTTTCATTCAGAAACTTCTGAGGAAAAGAAACAAGAGGCCCATGGGCCTTATAGGTCACCTGGGCATATTGCAACAACATTCCAGTGATTGAATTTGATTCATGTTTTAAGCCAGATGCTATGGCATTCACAATTTTGAAAGAGGCACCATTGATCATCATAACAATACACTTAGCAGTTGCTTAGTTTGTTTACTTAATACCCATACGCAGGGTATACTGTGTATACGCATACGTAAGGGAACACAAAATGCATTTCAACTAATCAGTAATATTCAGCAATAATCAGGAGAGCCCCTACCATACATGACCCCCTGACCCCTAGGCCTTGATATTTGATTAATACCAAGGAGCAGATTTCAAACCATTCATTCAAGTCCACCCCCCTCTATGGTACCCCTGAGCCTGGGCCTTGAAATTCACAATTGTGGATGATATGGGCCCTTGTCCATCACAACGATATTGGTAGTTCATCTGCTTAAAACCATGGAGCTGAGAAGAAAATTTTCTAAGATTTAATGTATTTTCACTATATAATCAATAGAGCCCCACCCTAACACCAGAACCCCTGACCCTGGGGCCATAAAATTCACAATTATGGAAGAGGCATTCTTGCTCATCATACTTAGTTAGTTTATTTATTTCCTAGGAGCAGAGAAGATTTTCAAAGGATTTATGTATTTTCACTACAAAATCAATACAGTCCCAACCTAAGACCAGAACCCCTGACCCTTGGGCCATAAAATTCATTATTTTGGTAGAAGCACTCTTGCTACTCATAACCATGCACTAAGTTAGTTTATTTATTTCCTGGGAGTAGAGAAGAGGATTTTCAAAGAATTCATGTATTTTCACTATGTAATCTATAGAGCCCCGCCCTAAGACCAGAACCCCTGTCCCTGGGGCCATAAAATTCATAATTTTGGTAGAGGCACTCTTGCTCATCATAACTATTTACTTAGTTAGTTTATTTAATACCCAGGAGCAGAAAAGATGATTTTCAAAGAACTCATGTATTTTCACTATATAATCAATAGAGCCCCGCCCTAACACCAGAACCCCTGACCCTGGGGCCATAAAATTCACAAATTTGGTAGAGGCACTCTTGCTCATCATAACTATGCTCTTAGTAAGTTTATTTAATACCTAGGAGCAGAGAAGAAGATTTTCAGAGAATTCATGTACTTTCACTATATAATCAATAGAGCCCCGCCCTAACACCAGAACCCCTGACCCTGGGGCCATAAAATTCACGATTTTGGTAGAGGCACTCTTGCTTATCATAACTATTTACTTAGTTAGTTTATTTAATACCCAGGAGCAGAGAAGAAGATTTTCAAAGAATTCATGTATTTTCACTATATAATCAATAGAGCCCCGCCCTAACACCAGAACCCCTGACCCTGGGGCCATAAAATTCACAAATTTGGTAGAGGCACTCTTGCTCATTTTAACTATGTACTTAGTTGGTTTATTTAATACCCAGGAGCAGAGAAGAAGATTTTCAAAGATATTATGCATTTTCATTACCTACTTATTATGCCCCGCCCTAACACTAGAACCCCTGCCCCTAGGGCCATGAATTTCACAATTTTGGTAGAGGACTCATTGCTGATTATGATCATGCAAACAGTTTGACTGCCTGATGTCCAGGAGTAGAGAAGAAGATTTTTAAAGATTGTACTAATTTTAGTGGTTTTGGCCCCACCCCACAGGCCCCAGGGGGGCAGGGATCATGAAATTCACAATTTTTGTTCCCCTCCACCCATAAATGCATTATGCCAAATTTGGTTAAAATTGGTTCAGTGGTTGCAGAGAAGAAGCTGAAAATGTTCAAATGTTCACGCACAACGCACGACGACGGACGAAAACAGATAGCAATAGGTCACCTGAGTTTACTCAGGTGACCTAAAAAAACTACAATTGAAAATTTAACAAAGGAGAGTCAATTACAGGTTGTTGTTGCCACCAGTGCATTAGGAATAGGAGTAAATGTATCATCGTGCCACAATGTTATAATATATGGGCCTCCCAAAAGTTTGATAGATTTCATCCAGGAAACTGGGCGAGTTGGACGAGATGGGCAACACTCATGTGCAATTTTATTGTATTACGGACAGTAATTGCGAAATGTTAACCAGGATGTAAAAACATATGTAACATCAACAGAGTGCAGAAGAATTCAATTACTTAAAACATTTTTATCAGACAAGGAATTAAAATCTGTGCAAAATACTGGAAAACATACTTGTTGTGACATTTGTGAAACAGTTTGTTCATGCAATTCCTGTTCTCTAACAGTATTGGAGAAAGCAGTAAGAAATCTGTCTTATGACAGAGTTGAAGACACATTTGATTCCTCCTGTGACAGTGATACTTTGTCAATCGAGATTCCTGTGTAATGCTGCAAGGCAAAAAAGTGCTAATAAATAATCATGCAGTTCATCTTGCTTAAGGCTTGAAGCAGTACTCTTTCTTTCAGATGGGTTGGAATGGCCATGAATTCCTTTTTCATGTGATTCCGCACTTCTAAGGTGACTGTAAGTTTTTCCACAGTAATGGCAGGAAAATCGTCCATCTTGAAAATTTGCAAACCAGAATTTTTCATTTAAATTAAATGTTTTACCTTAGTACCACTGAATCTCGAGAAGATTGGTTAAAACAAGAGGTCCAAAGGTCTTGAATCGCTTTTCTGATAAATTATACAATATATGCTTAGACCCAATGTGCATCAACTGACAAAGTTTGATGATTCTTAGTCAGTTAGGGCTGAAGATATTTAAATGTAACTATAAAATACTATACGTACGTCATGGTGACCTACATTTTGACTGAAAATTTCAAAGGACACAAGATGCATTAAATGACAAAGATTGATGATTCTAAGCCAATAAGTATTGATATATTCAAAAGTGGATCAAACTGACCTACTTATTGGTCAACATTCTCTGAACACTTTTGAAAAGGTTACCAATGTCCTAATTTATGCTAGATTAGGAACCATCTATACACTGCACGCTTAAGAGTTGCATTGTTTAATTATCATTTGAGCCGTTCCATGCAAAAACCCCCCTTATGAAATCTGACAAAATTTTACGTCACAATAGAAAAAGCGACGTCATTGTTTTGCAACAAATACTGCGATCAAAATATATCGCGCACTGACTGCGTTCCAACTATATGCTTTGTTTTACGTCACAGAATTTTCTCCGTTGTGCTTTCTGCATAATTTCTTTCATGAATATTGTCTATTTCATAACATATCTTACTCTGATTGTTGTCAAACTACATGTGCATTAAACATTAAAATGACCTAAGAGTGTTCTGATTAAATACATAACACTTAACAACACTTCGACAATTATTTTGTTCCATATACAATATAAGTTTTCAGTTAAACTTAATAAAACATGGAACTGTTGTTTAAAATTCAGATTTACGACTCTTTCTTATTCAACAAAGACAAAAAATAATTACATGCAATGATGATATTGAATGTAAAGATATTCTTAAAACGGAAGGAATAGTAGTTTTAAATATGTTTTTTTTTAATACGAAGTCTTGGCGAAAATTGTTTGGACTTAATCACATGTCAAGAAAGCTGCACGGGATATAACACCAATCAAAACTAAATGACAGAATTGTTAAACCACAACAATGCCAGATCTAAATTCGGGGTGACAATTAGTTCAGCTAACAAAGCTACATTAATTGAAAAGACGTATATCCGACATTCTCCTTAATTTTGTTGTGTGTTTAAAAGACTGATTACTTGTTAAATTAATACCGTTGACATCCCCCTTCCCAACACCACCACCACAAAATTTTATAAGAATATAATGTAATAAAGCATATATATAGAAATAAATACATGTACATACATGTATCTTTCTACAAATTTGTGGAAGTTTTGAAAAATACCATATTTGACACGCATCCACACCTACATCATTCATCTAATTGATAGTCAAGTTATTCTACCAACCCCCCAACCCCCCCCCCCCCCCTCCGGCATCACTGCATGCTGATGTTAACAGTGAAAATTTACATTCAGAAAAAATGCGGAGAGGGGCCCCCATGCAACCTCCTGAATTTGTTTTTTGTGTGCATGATTGTAAACACATTATTTGTTCACCTGATTGTTAATAGAGTGCAAAAAAAAAAAAATACATTTCCAAAATATTTTAATCAGTTTGGATTTTCCCGATCTACGTTTCGTCTAACGTAGCAAGAAGTAAATGTTCGTAAATTCACCAGGTAGATCACATGCAGGTGAACATAACCTGATTATTTTTCCACATTGCTAGATCTTGGAAAATCAGAAAACTAAGAGTATTTATCATTTTAAACACTTTTGTCGAATAGTTTGAAAAACGATCTATCATGTTTTTTAAACGTATGCTCATGGGAAAATATTTGAACGTTATCATTTTAGTGCAACTCTTTGACATTGTAGATGCAAATGTAGAAAAAATAAAATGAGAATTAATAGTGAAGTTTATTATATCAATATATTGAAATCCTATCAGGAGACAATAGAATGATGGAAATCGTTGTATAAAGATGCAATTTTAATTTGCTGTTCAAATTACGCTTGCAATGATACAGAATTTCAGTTTAAAGTGCTAAATGAAAGATACAAACAAAACATTAATTGAATGATTTTGACAACTCAAAATGTACATAGTAATTATGTTTGTCTGAAAAGCTCCTAAATATTTGCACGTCATTAAGATAGGCCTATGACTCATTCATTTCCATGGCTTTCCATGTTTTTGAGCGGTAACCCATCCAATGGTTAAACAGGCTCGCCGTTGCTTAACTTGTCTGAAATAGAGAGACTCTACCGCATCACTAGAAAAACTAGCTCAATAGCGAGGCAGTGTAAGTTCCCTATGTACTGTCCGCTACAGATGTCAAACACAAAAGTCGGATATATCTTGTATAAAAAAGGTTTCTAGATAACTTCTGAAATATCTTGTATAAACAAAGGTTCTAGATAACTTGTGAAACTTCAATGTTTAAATTTAAATATATTGATTGTTTGTATGTTGTCCATCTCGAGAATTTTTAACTCATAAATATGGAAACGTCACCACTTGCCCATGGAGAGCTGCAAATATTGTCTTATAACCGGCACTCAGGTCCTTTGAGCAGTGAGGGATCTTTTTCGTGCCAGCACTAACTGCTACACGGGACCGCGGTTTATACAGTCTCATTCGATCGGAAGGACCGGTCTCCATGTAAATTTAACTAGAAGACTATCACAAAAGTAATCTACATCCCCCCCCGCTTTCAGAACACATGGACACTTTGTAAGTTGGTACGGATGGTCAGATGTTCGAATATTTGATGTAAGTGAAGTGACAGAGAATGGCCAGCATTCCTCCCCCTTCTGTACACAACTTCTTTGTATGTGTGTAAAATGTTGGGTAGACTGGGATAGAATATATTTAACTAAATTAATATATGAGAAGCTTTTTATTTTAAAGACAGTTCAATGTGCAGATTTTGCACGTAAAACAAATTCTCTTTTCTATACAATTTATTTCTGTGTTTTTTTCAATGAAGACGGTAGTATCGTAAACAAACGGGAGTTATCTCCCCGAATTGTAATTTGAGAATTTTCCCTGTAACAAAAAAAAAAACAAACAAACAAACAAACAAACAAAAAACAAAAACAAAACGTGTGTTTATTAATAAATTTTGCTATGAATAGAATTTAAACTAAGAAAAAATAAGTTTATTTTTGTTTCTAAAATTACACATCAATCTTTGAAATTGAATAGAAAATTTTATTAAATTGTTACGTCTTTTGCAATTGGTTAATTATTTTGTGTTATTAAGAATCTATCAAGAAACAAAATTAAATACTAGAAATTTTAATTAGTTTTTTTTTAATCTTCATATTATATGCAAACTGTAATAAATGTTGAACTCGGACTGTTTAAGTTTCGATGAACGATTTTCAGCATTCATTTGAAAAAAAAAGATGTACATTTTTTTAAAAACTTACATCTTCATATTATTTATTAATTAATTTCGATTTATTGTATATAAAATGTACAGGCTTTTTCTTAAAGTGTCAAATTACCGGAAACATCCGATGACGAGCATTTGCAGTTACATGTAGTGGGCACGTGAACTTAAATTTTCTTTATCCAAGATATCAAGAAAAAGTTCTATTCTTCTTTATTTCTCATCGTTTATGTTCTGTTCCCAAATTTAATTAATTAATTTTCTTTAATCTATTTCCCTCTTTTATATAAATGTGCAGGCATTTTTCTCAAATTGTCAAATGACCGGAAAGCATTCGATGACGAGAGCTAACTTTGAGCACGTGAACTTTAAACAAGAGATCAAGAAAAAATATCGTTTTTCACTTTCACATGTTTTACTTCCTGATACAATGTCTTTCTTTTTAATTTTTAAAGATTTCGAGATTTAATATTTCTCGATTTTCGTGTTCAATAGTGCAGGTGTAATGATAAACTTCACAGACGAAATTATAGTTTATATTAATAAATATTCAATGCAAAAATTTATATATTTTTGTTTTCTTTGACAAATTCTGTTTCTTTGTGTATTAAGTATTAGCCGCGATCATTTCCTGTGTTTAGGAATTAGCAGTGCCTGAGCAGGAAACGACATGCCCTGGGGGTTTCACACCTGTCTTATAGTATACCTTGGGTAACGTGGATGTGCACATCCTTGTCTAGCCATTCAACAACACATTTGATTCATTGTTTCATTATTATTTCATCGATATCATTTTCAGATGCGATATTAGCCTTGCAATTTATGTCATATTATTGTTGCTTTTTATAAACGGAGTGTATAAAAAGAATTAAAGTAAAAAAAACTTTTAAAACAAATTAATGAAGTATTTGATATTAATTAAATAAAATAATGATCCATTACTATGTTATTTCCAGTCTGTTTATATCTGTACCAGTTAGAAGAGAGAGAGAGAGAAGAAAAATATCACAATATTAAGGCACGTGCATGATCGTTTTTCCTCCTTTTTGATCAGTATATCAATTTCATAAGTCTAGCGAATAAAACTCCCGCTGATTTATCAGTTTATTGACCATTTGTCGAATTTGTCTAAGTTTTATTGAGAGACTTGTTTATGATCCACTTTCTTCTTTCTTCTAGCATATGTACATGACATGTAATTTGAATTGCTTCCCTTTTTGTCGCCAGATTACAACGACAGATTTTGCTGGTAAAATAAAATGTATTTTTGTTATAAAATTTGATTACAAAAAACACAGTATATTAAAATTGTCGAATTATTGAAAATATTTTTTTGAAACAAAAAATTTAAAAAGGATTCTGTCTGCAACAAAATCATTCTCCATTTCATGCATTTCAATTCATGCTCTACATATAAAAAAAA